TTTTTCAGCACGACCTGGCACCTGCTCACAGTGCCAAAACCACTGGTGAATGGTTTACTGACCATGGTATTACTGTGCTCAATTGGCCTGCCAACTCTCCTGACCCGAACCCCATAGAGAACCTGTGGGATATTGTGAAGAGAAAGTTGAGAGACCAAGACCCAACACTCTGGATGAGCTTAAGGCCGCTATCGAAGCATCCTGGGCCTCCATAACACCTCAGCAGTGCCACAGGCGGTTTGCCTCCATGCCACGCCGCATTGAAGCAGTCATTCATGCAAAAGGATTCCCGACCAAGTATTGAGTGCATAACTGAACATGATTATTTGAAGGTTGGCGTTTTTTGAAGAAGAACAGCCAATTGGCAGGGACCAATGCTGACATGTTCCTGTTTTTAGTTTTTTACATTCGCCTTAGAATCTAGCTGTTTTTTTTTTGTTTTTTTGTTACCTTTTCCTTTTAGCCATCCTATTTGTAAAAAAACAAAAAACAACAACAAAAAAAACCCCATATATTATGACTTTTTATAACTGTTTATTGTTGTTGCTGTTGTCCATTGTTGTCATCTTTCTTTGTTGAAATCAGGTCTCTCTTGTAAATGAGTCCTCGAGGCTCAATGGGATTTACCTGTATAAATAAAGGTTGATTGATTTTGTATTAAAAACACTTGTCTTTCATTGGTGGGATGAAATATGCTAATTTTTTGGGACAGGCATTTTGGGTTTTCATGAGCTGTATGCCATAATCATCAGTATTAAAACAATTAAACACCTGAAATATTTCAGTTGGTGTGCAATGAATTTGAAATATATGAAAGTTTCATTTTTATCATTACATTATGGAAAATAATGACCTTTATCACAATATGCTAATTTTTTGAGAAGGACCTGTATATGTTTAAAGAAGAGACACAGCCTTTGGTTCAACTTTATTCTAACCCACAGATGTACAAATCACTAAACAAGAATTAAACTTTAAATCACTGTTTGATTGTTCTTATTTCTTCAAATGAGGATTGCCAACTTTTTCTTTATTATTTTAAAGACAAAGTCAGTAAGGTGAGAAATAACAATGATCACTGACCGTCACTTAAATCACTAAAATAAAATCTGTATACAAGAAACTAAAGCACATATCAAAAATGAGTGCAAATACATCAAATAATGAAGAAAAATATGGAATTTTAAATATAAATGTTTTTGTAGGATCTGGTTCATCAGATTTAATTCAGTTTATTTCTAAAGCTCCAAGTCACAACAGAAGTCGTCTCAGGGACTGAATAGAAATATTCATCTATAAAATAATAATTTAATATTATTTATCTGAGGAGCAGACTGCTTTGAGTTTAACTCATCACAGAACTCTCATTCGGTGAACTAAAGTTCATTAAAAGTTCGTTAGCAGGATTTTGGATTCTGGACACACCTCCAGAATCCATCCTTAAGTTCGGTGCAAATCCGGCTGATCTGAGCAGGGCTGAGTAGGAGCGGTGCAAAAGGGACATAAATGTGCTATCATGAGGTGCAGACTCAGGGATGATAGTGTTTTTGCTGGGGCTTTGCCAAAACCTTCTCTTTTTTTATCTTGTTTTGAAACATTTCTTTCCTCCCTGGCTTTAATCCATAGTGAGAAGTTAATGCTGATCTCTTCATTTGATGTATTGTTGTAGTTGTTTACTTATGTAGTGAACTAGGCCTCCGACATCAATCTGTCTCTGAAGACCTTCATGGGACAGGAACTGTTATTTCATTGATTTGAATCCAGAAATACAAATTAGCTCATCAAGACACTATTTAATTGTATCCTGAATTAATCAATTGACAGAACACTCTTCTTTTTACATTATCATTACTATTTTACAATATCTTGATAATCAAAGTGTGTTTAGTTCATACCATTTCTAAATGTTGAAGTGAACCACTCATTTTAAATCAACTGTGAAACAGTATTAATGATTTTTAAACCTCATTAGACTTAGAAATCAAGTTAAGTCTGAATGAGGAGTAGTGACGTCGGTCAAAAGTCAGAAAGCAAGTTATTAGAACGAAGTGTCTTGTTTTTAAACCTAGCAGACAGTAAATAAGAAGCTAGCACCTGCAAAGTTTCTCACTTCTTCAAAACATTTCTCTGTCTGTACTAAACGTTCCTAAACATTTCTGCTGTCTTTTTGACTCCTAATAACCCTCTGACATCGCTGAAACACCGGCCCTGCTGGTCGTTTCAACCAATCAGGAAGTGCTAAGTGACCGGAAGTGAGTACTCTTTAAAAGTCAACACTTCCTGGAACTATTCAGTCTTCCTAGAGGCTTCTTGAATCTTTGACCGGAGTCTTCCTAGAGTCTTTTTGAGTCTGCTTCAGTCTTCCTGGAGTCTTACTCAGTTTTCCTGAGTCTTTCTTGGGACTATGGAGTCTTCCTGAGAGTTCCTAAGGAACTTTCAGATTTAATCAATAGCTGATGGATTTGACCGTGAGACGAGGGTCTGTCCATCCCAGCTGGAGTCACAGCGCCTCGCTGTGAACTCACCCGGGCATAACGCCCTACAACTTCGAAGGAAGCTTGTTCTGTTGAACGGAGTAAACCACACAACTTCTGACGATGACTAGCCACCCTGACCGGAGATGCTGTAAAGGTAGCGTGCATAGGGACCTCTATACTGGAGCTGTCCATCAACTACAACGGTAAAGAGACGTCACGAGTGTCGCGCACTAAGCGGACCGGGGGTTTGAGCTGGTGTTGAAAGAAGCGTGCTAATTCTGGTCAACAAACATACATATTCCTTCATCCATCTTCCTTTCAAACTGCTCCATTTCTTCGCTTAAACTTTTCTATTTTGCCAGTAATCTAGATGCCTCAATCAGTAATGTTCTGTTGTCTTGTTAGTAAAGCGTGCCAAGTTTTTATTAATCAGAAACAGATCAGCAAATCAATGTGTACATGTTTTGATGTTAAGTTTTGATTCTGTTAAATAAATGACCGCATTTATTCTGATGGGTCAAACATAAAATGGCGTCTCATGTCACTGATTAAACAATCCTCACAGTTATCTCAGTCACACGACACATAATTTAACTCAAAAAAGAAAGAATCCGTTGTAATTAAATAATTAATATTCTTTGTGCTTGAACTAGCTTTAAGAATAATTAATTAGTAGTGAAGATACAGCAAAGCTGTCCCCTGCTTCACTACACTTATGTAATAAAAGTAGTTAAAGTTAGTTGTTTTCACATCTTTAGTGTGTTTTTCATGTTCTGACCTGTGTTTGTCTTTTTACACTTTGCTTGATTGATGTTCTTTATAGACGAAGTTGTGTTCACATGAGTGGAAACGTCTGACCAAACCTTCACACCTGTCTGACAGGTGCTGTGATCCTGCGTGTCCCTGTGCTGTTCGGGGAGGTCGAGTTTGTTACCGAGAGTGCTGTGACGGCTCTGTGGCTGAAGGTTCAAGAGGCGACGGAGGAGAGCTGTACGCTGGACCACTGCCAGCAGAGATTCCCCACCGATGCTCGAGACGTAGCGTCTGTGTGCAGGAAGCTCTGTGAGAGAGTGAGACAGGTGTGTTCCACAGCCCCACCTCTTCACCTCTTTGATTCTGTTTCCTTTATCTCTGAGTCCAACAGAGTTTCTCCCAGTTCAGATTAATCCACTCCAGATTATTATAGTACAGATTAATTCAGTCCAGAAACCAGCCAATGGGGAGCACAAGCCAGTGTATCTCTTGTGCTGGTCTCAAGCCCCGGTAAATGCTTATGTCAGGAAGGGCATCTGATGTAAAATACTTTTGCCAAAACCATAATATGAGTTCATCAAAGTGAAACCATACCGGATCGGTCGAGGCCCGGGTTAACAACGACCGCCACCGGTGCTGTTGACAAACAGGGGGCCGGCGGAAATTGTGCTACTGTTAGTCGAAGACCACGAGGAGAGAAACATGTCAGGAGACAGAGGGAGAAGAGGAAAGTGAAGAATGTAGGACTGAGGGTTGCAACTCTAAATGTGGGGACAATGACAGGCAAAGGTAGAGAGCTGGCTGACATGATGCTGAGAAGGAAGGTAGATGTTTTATGTGTCCAAGAGACCAAGTGAAGGGCAGCAAGGCTCACAGCATTGGAGCAGGGTTCAAACTGTTTTACCATGGTGTGGATAGAAAGAGAAATGGAGTAGGGGTGGTCCTGAAGGAGGAGTTGGCAAAGAATGTAGTAGAGGTGAAAAGAGTGTCAGATAGGGTGATGTGTCTGAAGGTAGAAGTAGAAGGTCTGATGCTAAATGTTGTCAGTGGTTATGCTCCACAGGTTGGATGTGATGAGGAGGAGAAAGATACATTTTGTAAAGATCTGGATGAAGTGATCTTGTCACTTTTGGGCGAGATGTTTCTTACATTAGTGATATTACATGTCAGGGTTAAAATACAAGTCCTGATCAAAAATAACACCAAGGTTTTTAAAATTAGAACTGAAGCCAAACTAATATCATCCTGAGAAAGTGAAACCCTGGAAAATTTATTCCTAAGATGCTCACGTCCAAAAATCAAAACTTCAGTCTTGTCTGAATTTAAAAGCAAAAAATTAAGGGTCATCCAAGTTTTTATGTCTTAAAGACATGCTTGTAACTTAAGTAACTGATTAGATTCATCGGGTTTCATGGACAAATATAACTGAGTACTGAACAGAAACCTATTTTTGAGCAGCAGTATTGTTCCATGCCAAGAAAGAGCACCACAGATGATGCAGAAGTACAGAGAGGGTCAGAAAGAACTCCATTGTGTCTTTGAGGATTTAGAAAAAGCATCTGACAGGGTGCTGAGGGAGGAGGTGTGGTGTTGCATGAGGAAATCTGGAGTGGCAGAAAAGTATGTTAGACTGATACAGGACATGTGTGAGGACAGCAGGACAGTGGAAATCAAGACTGCTTGCTTCAGACTGAACAAAAAGAAGACGTCGCTGAAGCCCCGGAGCTCGAATGTTTACTGAGAAGTTGCTAAACTTCATCTTAATTAATGACCAACTGCTATCAGTTGTAGAAAATGAAAGATTTCACAGCTTCATACTTCTAGTCAAGATATAGTATAGCAGCTGTATAAACAAAAATCAGCTGTTCCGACCGAAACTTCAAAATAATCTGCCGCTCACACACTCCTTCACAAAAGTTACGCCAAACAAAACTGAATTGTCTCACTGATTAGACTTTACGTAGGAAAATAAAGAGTGTCTGAAATAAACCAATTTCACCGATTTCATAAGAGGAAGAGAGATCTCTCAATAATAATAATAATAATGTAATGAATGAAAAGTCCACAGTTATGCACTCTAAAATATCAAGATATAAAAAAATAAATTCATTGAGGCCCATTCACCAGTCTTGGTCTTTTAAAAGAAAAAGAAAAAGATAAGGAAATGTGTCAAAACGTGTTGAAACCCTTAATGCAGGGGGTTCAGTTGCACAACTCACAGAGGCTCTGTGTAAAAACTTGGTTAGGGTTAACTTTGGTTTTTCTCTGGTTATTTGTTTTACAGTTGTCTTTGAGGTGAAAAATGACAATGTCAGTTTATAGCAGTTTTTTTTTTTCAAATTGGATGCTTCTGTTGTTGGAATTCATTTTGCAGCATTTATATACCTGTATATACATATATGTATATATATCTATAAACGAAACAAAAACAGCTACGTTATAAAGTGATGTAAAATACTAAGAACAGGAACATGTCTATTTGTTTATGCCATGAACCTAGCAATGTTTGAAGCCATTTAATTTTTTATTTTACTTTTTTATTTAATTCATTTTTTCGTTCATTTAAAAGAAACAAAATAAACAACAAATTCATCAAAAAGACAAAAAAAAAACATTGAATGAAAAGAGTGCAGAAAGAAGAAAAAAAATTATTGTAATATCTGCCCCATATTTAAAAAATAAAATGAAAAAACTTTAAACAATCACATAAATTATTTTTTTTTAAAAGTCCAAAAAAGTCCATGCTCAATAATCCAGGTATACAATCCAACAAGTTTCAGTCAGATCATGTGGACAGTTTATTTTTTGTGCTGAAACGTTTCACCTTCCATCCAGAAGGCTTCATCAGTCAAGGAAACGCACAACAAAACTGATTCTTCCC